TGTAGTCCCAGCTGGCCTGGAACTCTCTATGTAGACCAGGCTGGCCTCAAAGTCACAGAGATCAGCCTGCCTCTGCCTCCCAAGTGCTGGGATTAAAGGCATGTGCCACCACACCTGACCTTTTTTTTTGTTTTTGAGACAGGGTCTCCTTGTAGCCCCAGCTGTCCTGGAACTCACTATGTAGACCAGGCTGGCCTTGAACTCACAAAGCTCTGCCTGCCTCTGCCTCCCACGTGCTGGGATTAAAGGTGTGCACCATCACGCCTGGCGAATTCTTATTTCTTAGTGCTGGGATTAAAGGTGTGCACCGTCACGCCTGGCGAATTCTTATTTCTTAAAGTCCATATGAATTGCAGGCTGGAGAAAGCTCTTGAGTTCACCTGCCTTCAGAGCGGCAGAAGCTGCAGTAGGCAGAGCTGGTCTTGTCTCCCTCCCTGTCACTGTTCCCACTGACCCCACCAGTCAGCCCCAGGCTCAGCGAACTGAAAGGGCAATCTGGTTGACTGCAGGAAGGCAGGTAGCCCCAGAGTTTGATCACCACAGTGCATAAGCAGTGAAATTAGCTTCTCTGTACCTGTCCTTGTGACCCTAGGCAGGCCACCCAGGTGGGCTTAATTGATACAGGGTCTCCCTTATAGCTCCAACTAGCCTGGAAATTACTATGTATACCAGGCTGGCCTCAATCATTGTGAGACTGCCACCATGCCTGGCTCGTTTAAATAATTCTTATTCCAGAAAGCATTTGAAGGTGAGCTCTAGCCATGGGTGAATGACTTGGTTTTTTGTTTGTTTTTTGTCTTTTTGAGACAGGGTCTCCCTGTAGCCCTAGCTGGCCTGGATTTGCTATGGAGACCAGGCTGGCCTTGAACTCACAGAGATCTGCCTGCCTCTGCATCCCAAGTCACCATGCCCGGCAACTTGTATTGTTTTAAAAACAAAACCCAGCTGGGTGTGGTGGCACACACCTTTAATCCCAGCACTTGGGAGGCAGAGGCAGGCTGATCTTTGTGAGTTCAAGGACAGCCTGGTCTACATAGTGAGTTCAAGGACAGCTGGGGTTATAAGGAGACCCTGTCTCAAAAAGACAAAAAACAAAAAAAACAAAAACAAAAACCCAAAGTGGACTAGGTACTTTTATGGTTTTCCAGGTTTGCTTTGTTTCAAGAGACTCCAGGTGAAGTGACTTGGAAGTGGTCAGGCCTCCTGCCTAGAACTCAGCACTTTATGGTTAGAACAGAGCTAGGGGTTCCCCCAAGGGCTTAGGAAAGCCTTTTTCATAAAACTGAATGTGCTGTGACTATGAGGTCTGGTGTCAGTTCCCCTCAAGACTGTTTTGAAGGAGGAATTAAAGACACTTCCCCCAAACCCGTGTACTGTGTCATAGTGTCACAAGACACAAAGCATGATCTTCATGATCTTGGGATTAGGTTGGAAATGGGAGAGATGGAAGCACTGTATAGCCCCAACTGGCTTGGAACTCTGTAGACCAGGCTGGCGGCAAACTTACAGATATCCACCTGCCTCTGCTTCCCAAACGCTGGGATTAAAGGGGTGTCCCACCACATTCAGCCCACTAACTAACTCCTCTTGCTCACTGAAATAAGTGGAAGAAAGCCCTAGGCAGAAGGGGTCACTGAGAACCCGTCTTCCCTGGCAGCCATGGGCCGGCCTGGAAAACCAGGCTGTCTTGCAGTGTGGCAGGAAGGTGAGTACTGAAACCCAAATGTGTTCAAGAACTAGTATCATGTGTTCAAAAGCAGGCTCACTTTTAAGGACAGGCTTGGTCTTGTCCAGGTAGGCACTGGCAGTTTCTACTTCCTCATACGTAACTCCCTTCAGCTGTCCCAGCAGAGCCAAAAGCCAGCTGATCCATGGAGGTTTGCTTCCCCTAAACATGCTGAGGGGCAGGGCAGCTAACATTTACCTAGGCCTTGCCCTAGAGATGCAGAAGATAGTATTGGCCATCCCAGCCTCCCCCAACACACCACTCCCCAAAACAGGTTTGTCACAGGACACCTGGGAGACATGAGAAGGCTGGAGGGTAGGAGAGGCTAAGCATGGTGTGTGGTGTATAACAGAGAAGGATCTGAGTGAAAGACAGATGGCGTTGTCGCCACGTGGAAAGTGACATATGAAAATCCTTTATTTCCCAGTACAAAGCCAGATACTGTAAGACTAAAAAACTTGACTGGCTAGAGAGCTTCAGGGACAAGAAGGCTTTCTTTGGCCCAGTGCTCTGTGACCCAGTGAGAGGCAAGGGGGTACTGAGGGCAGCAGCAGAGACTCCATTCAGGTATCTGGGGGGCAAAGGGGGGAGGCTGTGAGCCCCCTCAGAGCCTTTGGGACTAGGGACCGAGGGTACTTTGTGGCCACTGCTTCCCTGGCCTAGCTGCCTTTAGGGTTACAATGGAAAAGGGTGGGAGGAACGGAGTAGACTGCCAGGGGAAACCTGCCCTGAAAAGCTCTGGTTTTAATTCCATGGCTGCATGAACCTGTTAGAGTGTGACCTGGAAATGAAACGAGGGTGATGTCACCCTCAAAGGCACCTTGAGTGGCTCTACCCACATCTGTATAAAGTCTTGAGCTCTTGGCAGGTAGACATGGGCCTGAGACCTAAGGCTTCAGGGGAGGAGGCTGGGGTGATGGAGTCTGGTGACAGCTGGGGAGAAACTATGGGGGAATATTCAGGCACATAAGTACAAGGGGTGCTTATCTGAGGAGCTGTGGCCAGTCTCTACTTAGTGTCTAGTGGGACGTGGTACCTGTAAGGGCTTAGACCTCTCCGTCCTCTCTGCTGTCATCCACACTGGCCTGCCTCACCACCTTTGGATGCCTAGATGGAGAGGACATACCAGCTTCCTCCTGCCTCTCCACCTGTCCCTCCCCCTGCCCCTGCTCCTGGAAGGCCCGGGTCCTGCCGGCCACTAGAGCAGCGTGCTGGAGGGCGACAATAGACTGGCGAGACTTCAGGGCAGGCCAAGGCCCCTTTCGAACATGCTGGCCACCTGTGGCCCTTGATTGCTGAGGGAAGGGATGTGGGGTTTCTTCATCTGAAGACTCATGGGAAGAGAAAACCTGGATGGTAAAGGGTATAAAGAGCCATGGGGAAAAGAGGTAGGTACACACTTCCCAAAGATGGCAGACAGAACCCAGACCCTGCTCCTTGGCTTCACCTACTTGAGCTTTGTTCCGGCCCATAGAAGCCTTGAGTCCCCTGAACCTGCCACTGGGCCTTAACCACCCTCTCCTCCTCCTCTCACCTCTCTGCCTTTGTACGATCAGACCAGTGAGTCACCGATGAAACCCCACCAGGTGCCAGGCCTGACTTGGGCTATGTGGCACAAGTGTCTGGGTGCCTCATTGGGACATGTGCCTATCGCAGTGCCTACATCCATCCATTAATTTCATACCTGCCTATTGGTCCACACCCAGCACCTCATCCAAATGTTCTGTTTGCACATATTCCTTCCTTTGGATCAGCCGTGTGACCTCATGTCACAAGTGAGGCCTGGCTTCCTCAGGCAAGGGCCAGCTTCCTTTCCTACCTAGCTCTCAGCACATAAGTGCTTGTCCATGCAGTCAGTAGGTGGGTGGTATGTGAGTACAGGGGCCTCCACACTGTCCTTTGCTGTGTGGCTTCTCAGCTTTGGGAGGGGCTTCAGGGATGGTCTTACCTATCCTGTCTAATGCAAGAAGCTTCTCCAGGCCATTAGCTGGCTGTGGGGCTCATGGCCTAGAGGGGATGCTCACTCCAAAGCCAGGATCCCAGCCGCTTGGGAAATGAGCACACTTGTCAGGCTAAGGCAAGATCGTCCCTGTTCCTGGTCACATCTGTCCCTGCCCAGACCCTAGGACACTGCTCTTGCCTGCCCTCACTGAGTCCTCTTATCTGGCCTGAGGGCCAAAGGGGAGGAGCCCAGGGGTGTTCCCATCCTCAGGTACTCACAGGACAGGCTTGAGTTGCCTGTTGCAGAAAGTCAGTGTGAGGTAGTCAGTATGGAGGAAGCAAGGACAGCACCTCTAGGCACCCCAGTGTGACTCTGAGGGCCTACACCAGGGCCTGAAGTCCAGCCCCAGTGCTACTCTCTGTCTCTACAAGGCCACTGCAGGTGGAGCTCCCCAGCCCAGCCTCACCTCTGGCAGGTCTCCAGCCTCTGAGGTACTCTCAGGCTCTGAGGAGGGCTCCAGGAGACTGATAGAGCGCATGACTCCTCGGAGGTTGATGCGGGGCCGTAGCCCAGGTTCTTCCTTTGGTGTTGCCTGGCTTTCCTCCAAGCCCACAACCATCGTCTCCCCACCACCCCCTGGTTCTGGTGGAAGAGGTGGAAACGGTGTAGAGACTTCAGGGGCCAGGGGTTCCTCTGGGGAGACCCCACCCACTTTCTGCTCCCAGACATGGCTCTGCCGGCTGTGAGGAGGTGGCCCTGAGTCAGCTTTGAGTGATGCAGTGCCACCCCCAGCATACACATTGACCTCCCCCTTGTCCCCTTCCCCCGTACCTGGCAGTCAGAATGCCCTGGTAGGTCTGCAGCTGGCGCAGGAAGCCAGGGTTGGGGCGCACAATGGGCCGCAGCTCCTGCACGTGGAGCAGGGCCTGCTCCAGGCCCCAGCTGTACTGCTTCATGGCATAGGCCAGCACTGTGGCAGCCGAACGGCTGACACCCATCTTACAGTGGACTAGCACCCGAGTGCCCTGTGCTCTGTGGATGTGGGATGTGGTAAGTCTCCACCCTACCCCCGACCCCAGTGTCCAAGGAGGGGTAGGTAAGGGCTTAGGACCCAGCAGAGCAAGAAGGACTGAGGCAAAGAGGGCAGGGAAGGAAATTGAGCTGAGGGCGGGGTGGGCAGGAGGAAGGCACCAGGCCCTGCTAGACCTGGGCTGGGCAGCAGGAGCTGAGGATGCCCAACCTGGCATCCTCGATGAAGCGGTGCGTCTCCTTCCAGTGGGGTAGCAGCTGTGCGGACTCCTCATCCCAAAGGCGCACGTTGTGGTAAGTGAAGCGCTCAGGGAAGAAGTTGTCAATCTCCCGCGCCATGTTCAAGATGTGGCTTACCCTGCAGCAGAGGGCTCAAGGCCAGGTTGACATGGCAAAGGAGCCAGAGACTGGCCATGGTGTCGGACCCAGCAGATCTGGGGCATTTCCATTGGTTCTTGGTTATGAGGGCCAGGGGATGGCAGCATTTGTAGTGGGACGAGAACCGAGCCAGCTATCCAACGGCTGGCCTTGGCAGCATCATCTTACTTTGCCAAGCTTCAGTTTCCCTGCCAATCCTGACAGATGAGGTCAGCTCAATAGTTACCCTCCCAGGATTCTGGGATGGCAGTTAGCTTTTGAGCTAAGCTGAGATTAGGGTTCTCAGCAGCAGGTGACAAGGGCTATAGCCGGTCTCTCAGAAGTCCATGGTGGAGGGATAACAGGTCCCTGTCAGAGGTGGAAGCCACGTCCCACTAGGAGAAGGCATTTCTTTCTTCCCAGGGATTGGCCAGGGGGAGCAGGAGCCTTTTCTGCTTGACCAGTGCCCACTGCTGCCCCTTATCTCAGCATAGCTGAGGCCTCATTTTTACACATGTGTACAGTGCATGCTCGCAGTGCAGATGGCCATCCTGTGGCAGTCTCAGAGCTCATGTGAAGGCAACATCCCCAGGGTACGATAGAGCAGAGCCAGCAGTGATGGGGAGGTCTGAGGTTCCTGAAGGTGGCCAGGCCACCCCATGGGAAGGCTGAGACAAAGGGAAGAGAGGGCAGTAGTCCTGAGGGCTGCGGAGCCATACCTGTTTCTCTGCAGCTCCTCCAGGTTGGCAGCGTTCCACTCGGAGCCCTGTGGAGTGCCACAGAAGCGCCATGTTCCCTTGGTTTGCCTCCAGCCATGGGACCCATCAGAGTATCTGCAGGGATCTGGTACCCACTTCCCACAGCCTGCACTCACCAAATAGAGGTGGGGGAAGATGCGGGAGGCCCGGTCTTGCTGGGCCATGACCAGCAACATCTGGTTATCAATGAAGTCACGGTACTGCTGGAGAGGGCATCCTAGGCGCAGTTCCAGGGCCTGGCGAATCTGCGGGAGGGCCCAAGGGAAGAAGTTTCAGGTCAACACCCCTGGGAGGCCTCTGAGGATGGTGTGGTATCCTGTCCCATCTAGATAGAGCCAATAGAGCCGAGACCAGGGATTGAGAGATGGCTCAGAACTGGAGGAAACGAGGTGAGAAGGCCCCAGGGAAAGGCAAGTTTCAGGCCCTGGGCTCTGCCACCCTGCCCACCTCTTTGGAAGTGACACTCTCCAGATCACTGGTGTCCAACACCTGCCACAACTCAGCCCGGATTGCCTGTTCCATCTGCTCCTGTTCGGAGGGCCTGGGAGCAGATCCCTCAGTAAGAGGCCCTCCCTTTACTGTGACACTGCCACCCCCTCTTCCTGCCTCCCTCTCCCCTCCCCAGCACTGACTGTCCAGGCTCAGCACCAGGAGGGCGCAAGGACTCCAGGTCAGACATGGCCATCCACTCGTTGAGGCAACTCTGCTCAGAGTTCAGTCTCTCCTGGTAGTGGGCAGCCCAGGCAAGGGTATTGCCACCAGGCACAAGGCCACTGCTTAGAGCCGCCTCACATGCCTGGTGTAATACCTGAAGTGTGGCCCTAGGACAGGAAAGAGAGCCTGGGTCACACAGTCCTTCTTGCATCCCTCTCCTGGGCCTGGTTTGCTATCCCCAGAGAAGAGGCTGGGCCATTCTAGCACTTACCACATGGTCTGGATGGAGATAGGCTTAAAGATTCGGCTCTGCCCACCAGATGTCACACTGAAGCCCCTGCAGGAGACGTAGGGTGGGTGGAACAAAGGCCAGGCTCTCAGTGAACCTGTCCATTTGACAGATGTAAGGAGGCAGAGACCCAGAGAAGTTAGGTAATTTGCCTACGATCATACAGTGAATCAGAGTTGGAGAGATTGAAAGCAGGCCCCTGGTCCAGCCCAGTCCTGCTGCTCTCCAATGTTTTGGCCCACTTTAAAAAAAAAAATATTTCATTTTTATTTTATGTGTACGAGTGTATTGCCTGCACGTATGTGAGTGCACCCATGTCATGCAATGCTGCGGATGTCAGAAGAGGGCTTGGGATTCCCTTGGAACTGGAGTTAAGGACGGTTCGTAGCCACCATGTGGGTGCTGGGAATTGAACCCGGGTCCTCTGCAAGAGCAGTCAGTGCTCTTAACCGCTGAGCCATCTCTCCAGCCCCTGGCCCACTTTTTTTTAGACAGGGTTTTACTCTAGCTCTGGCTGACCTGGAACTCACTATGTAGACCAGGCTGGCCTTGAACTCACAGAGATCCATCTGCTTCTGCCTCCCAAGTGATGGGACTAAAGGCATAAACCACCATGCTCAGCTAAAATTTATTTTTATGTGTATGTTTTGCATGCATGTATATAAGTGCACCATGTGTGTGCGATGCCCACAGAGGCCAGGCCTCCTTTTTCCCATTTCCCCTTCCTGTTGCCATCTCTTACCCATCGCCATCTAGGTACACCTGGGTGTCACTCCAGAGGGGCAAGACCAGGCCCAGGGTGCAGCTGGAGGAGCTGGAAGAGGATGGGAGAGCTGTTGTCTCTCAGCACCTCCTGTTCTTGCCCCCACCCTTCTCTCCCTGCTCCCACCTGCTGTCAGGGAAGTCTACACCCAGGAGGACAGTCTCTTCCTGATTCAGACAGTCTCGGGTGGACACCACCAGCAGGTAGCGGAGCCGTGGGGGCCTGGCTGCCTCCAGCTGTGCTGCCTAGGAAAGATGGAAAGAAAGGCCTGTGAACCTTGGATGTGCTCTCCAATCATACATGGACACATTCTCAGCTACAACAACCTTGACAGCTCCTTGCCCTCCACTTCTGCCACCAACCCCCAGATAAAAGACCAGTGGCTACAATCCAGTAATTTTCAAGGTTTGCAATTCATGGCCCAACATAATGTCTTAAAAACTCTTAAATGGGGGCTGGAGAGATAGCTAAAGAGTTAAGAGCACTGACTGCTCATGTGCAAGGCCTGGGTTCAGTTCCCAGCACCCACATTGAGGCTAACAACTATAACTCTAGTTCAGGGGATCCAATGCCCTCTTCTGACTTATGTGGGCCTTGCAAGACACCGGTGCACTTACACATGCGCAGGGAATACACTCATACACATAAAAACCTCTTAAATGGTGACTGGAAAGATGGCTCAGCAGTTTAGAGTACTGGCTGCTTTTGCAGAAGACCTGGATTTGGTTCTGACCACCCACATGCCAGCTAACAACTGTCCTTAACTCCAGTTCCAGGGGAATCCAAAGCCCTCTTCTGATCTCTGTGGGCACTTCATGCATGGGTGCACTTATATACATGCAGGCAAAACACTCATAATCATAAAAATAAAATATTTTAAAAATACTCTTAGCCAGGTGTGGTGGTGTACACCTTCAATCCCAGCACTTGGGAGGCATAAGCAGGTGTTTATGAGATCCAGGCCAGCCTGGTCTCCATGGTGAGTTTCAAGCCAGCTGTGGCTACAAGGAGACCCTATTGCAAAACAAAAAATACAAAAACTCTCAAAAGGGGAGTGTATAGAAAGGGGGATAACATTGACAGAACTTTTGTTTCTGCTTACTACTTGCCATTTTATTTGAAAAATGCCTTCTACCAAAGGAAAAAAAAAATTTTTTTTGGTCTTTTTGAGTCTTTTTGAGACAGGGTCTCCCTGTAGCCCCAGCTGTCCTGGAACTCACTATGTAGACCAGGCTGGACTTGAACTCACAGAGATCTGCCTGCCTCTGCCTACCAAGTGCTGGGATTAAAGGCGTGTGCCACCACGCCCGGCCCCCAAAGAAATATTAAGGACTTAATTTTTAAAAATTTGGGGTGCTGGGAATTGAACCTAGGACCTCGCACATGCTAGAGAAACTTCATCTTATTTATTTTTAGATTTTATCTGAGTGTTTTGTCTGCATGAATGTATGTGTGCCATGTGTGTCTGGTGCCTAAAGAGATCCTCCAGAACCAGAGGTACAGGTAAGCTGCCATGTGGGTGCTGGAAACTGAACCTGGGTCTTCTGGAAGAGAAGCTAGTGTTCTTAACTGCTGAGCCATCTCTCCAGCCCCAGGTCTTCATCTTATGGTGAGAAGCACACTCCTATTCTAAACCTAGCTTTACTAAAGTCTGAATCTTGTTTTTCATAGTTTGCTGCCAACAGCAAGTGCCTGTCTCCATTGGCATTTGGCAAGTGCCTGTCTCCATTGGCTTTCTTGCTCCAGTGGACCCCAGACTTCCACATGTGCTTCCTTCTGCCAGGGCCCACCAGCTCCAACAGATGCCTCACAACCCTGAGTACCAGTCCCTCTCTGGACAACTCATACCTAGTAACATCAGGAGCCTCCTGTGGATTAGCAGAAACATTCCTTGTGTAATCTCCATTTTCTTGATTCACTCAGGACAAACCTCCCCGTCCTCTCACAGCCCTCCTGGGATGGCATGACCCCACCCTGCTATGATGTCTTTAGCTCTAGATGAAGCAGCAGGATTCTTAGGGTTTGGGTAACCCCTCTACTGCACAAGTATCCCTGATCCCACAGCATTGCTCCCCAACACACAAGTTCTGGACGACTCCTCACCAGACGGATGTCGTCCTGTGGCCTCAGCAACTCTACCATGTGGTGCAGGTGCTGTGTTTGCACCTGTTTCCGGGGACTCTGGAGTTCTTGCCTACTGTCTGTCTGGTCCTCAGCAGGATGCTCCTCACCCGAGGGTTCCTCCACTGGCTCAGAGTTGGCCTCAGTTGCATCCTCACTATCCCCTCCATCCTGTAGTCCCAGGACAGCCCCTCGGAGCACTGCAAAGCTTTGCCTGACAGGGTGGTGGGGGAATTGTTCAGGACATAGGGTTCTGGAACTTTACCAAGTGTGAGTCCGGGAAGGGACTGTTCAAATGGACTGCTCCCCGCCACCCCATCCCCAATCAGTGGAATGAGGCACACTTTGCATTTTGGGGTTTTTTTGTTGTTGTTTTTGAGACAGGGTCTCCGAGATGCCTCAGCTCACCTGGAACTTGCTATGTAGACCAGGTTGGTCTCAGTCTCAAAGATCTGCCTGCCTCTGTCTCCTGGGTTCTGGGATTAAAGGCTTGGACCATCAGTTTGCATTTTTAACAAGGCAAGGTGGTCAGCATCCAGGCCAGCCTTAGGCTCAAGTTCCTTCTCACCTGGCTTTACACATCTGGGGGTGCTACCCTTGCCGGGTGGCAGTGAACTCAGATGCTATAAACTTGCTTGGGCACCTAGGAAACCTGAGGTCCTGTCATGCCCTTGGGGCTGTGACCATCCGCCAGAGCCAAGGTCCAGGTAGTGTGTGAAAGCCAAGGCAGCCCTGCTGATTCTGCCACAAGCCGGGATGTGATGCTGGCCAGCTCCAATCGCAGCACTGGGCTTCCATCTGTACTAGTGTTTGGTCAGTATTCCAGTGAGCCCTTGATCTGTGATACCTGAAGCCTAGAGCCATGGCTAGAGGGAAATGGGTGTCCGGAGAAGAGGCTCACCTGCGCTGAAGCCGGCCTCTGCGCCTGACCACCCGGTCCTGCTGAGAAGGCAGCCGGAGCACAGAAAGTGAGAGAGCTGCTCCACCCCCACCCCCCACCCCCCGCCCCAGGAAGCACTCAAAGCCTCGCCTCCCCTCTCCCCTCTCCTCGGGTATCGGGGGGAGGGGTGGAGCCAGAAGAGGTACCAGCCAATCCCTTCCTACCCAGCTCCTGGGGGAGTTCCAGCCTAAGTCCGGGCACCAGGCGCGGCGGGCTGGGGGTGGCGAGGGTGTGGGAGGGGTGAGGGCGGCTCTCAGGGCCGCGGGGGCCTAAGATCTCCAAGGGTCGGGAGCCCCCTCCGCCACCCCGAGGCGCGAGGCCAGCTGCCCTGGGCAGGACGTGCGCCCCCGGGCCCGGCTGGCAGCCAACTGCGTGAGGGCAGGATCGAGCCAGACTCACCGTGGGCCCCACCGGCGTGGACCGGCCGCTGGCCGGGGGCGAGCGACTCACTGTCACCAGCGCCATGCCAGGCCGGGGTGACCGGGGCGATCACCCGGCACGGGCCCCGCAGGACCAGGAAGGAGAGCTTGGAGCCACCGGGCCTGGCACCTCCTCGGGAGCCGCCCTTAAAGGGCCAGACTCCAGCCCGGGCGGCGGTGCGGAGTCTGCACGGACGACCGCGGCCCCTCCTCAGCGGCCTCCCGGGGCGCTCCACGCCACACCCCTCCACGCTGGGGGCGGACCGAGGGTGGGGCTCAGGTGCGCAGCTGGACCTCGCGTCCACTGCGGGGCTTGGCCGCCCGCGCACGAGGCGGCCAGCCCTCCTGCTCCGCCAACGTAGATCACCTGAGCTATCTCCTGGTACAAGGACTCGGGTCTTAGAACTGGTTTCCAAACTCTTTTCCCCTTGCTGGTTGGCCTTCAGAAACCTCCATTCTGCTGGGATCTGGGAGACCAAGCTTCTGGGGAAACAGGGCTCAGCGGTTAAGGGCACCCAGTGCTCTGGCAGAGGACCCGGGTTCGATTCCCAGCAGCTACAAGACAACTGTAACTGCAGTTCCAGGGGGTCTGATGACCTCTTCTGACCTCCTTGGGCATTTCGTAACATGGTTGCACTTACATGCAAGCAACGCACACATAAACATAAAATGAAAAATTAAGAAATAGCCCCTGAAGGCCACAAGGGGTGCTCAGGGCCACTCTGGAGGTGAACAGGGCAAGGGGAAGTGACTCAAAGTCGCACCAGTGTAGAATCCAGGCAGGAACCTGTGCCTGAGCCCGGGGTTGGGGGTGGGAGCTCTCCGCTGTGGTAGGCGATGGGGGTCCAGCCTTTATGTCTCCCCTAGGAGTAGGGTCAGATTCCAGGAAGGCCAGGCTGGGAGGCAAGGAGGAACCTGGGTAGGTGGGGTAGGGCTCAGGGGGATAGTTTCTGGAACACCTGCTCTGTGAGTGGTCTCTTTTACAGATACGTACGTGGAGGGTCTGAAGCTAGAACTGAGGTCACTGCCCCTCAGAACCCCCCACCCAGTGTCCCGTCGGCTCCAGCCCTGGGAGGACAGCCAATCTGCTGCTGCTGTTCTTTATTTCCCTCGGTCCCACTGCCAGCCCCCCCCCCAGGCTCCAGACCCCCCAAGCACAGCAGCAGTTTATAAATAAATAAATTACAAAAGCAGGCAGAGGGAATGACTGCAGAGCCCTCCAGGGCCTGGAGCCTCAGTGCTCTGTGAGGGATAGCTTCAGGATTCGCTGCAAGTCCTCTTCCTCCTGCTGACCCCGACGTTCCCGCTCCTCCTCTTCCTTCGAAGACAGCTCCAGGGCCAGGCGAAGCTGCTCCTCAAAGCTTGGGGGTGTTCTCTGAGGAGATCCTGGACCCCTGGACTCTGTGGACAGCTGTAGGCTTTCCTGGAGGGCCCTTCAGGGCAAGCATGGGGGGAGAACAGACCAAAGAGAAGGCTGGGGGAGGAGCCAAGGGGCTGAGCATGTGGTTTTGAGGGGCACAGGGTCTGGAAGACAGACAGGCAGGACCTGTCTCTTGGTCCTTTATTCTGCTGGTGAGCAGCATTTTGCCAAGGTGAGGGCATGGGGTTCTAGGATGAGAACTTCTCCAGGATTCCAACCCACCCCCAGCCAGTCAAGGGCCCCCAGGTCCTGCAGGGCCTCACCGTTCCAGCTGAAGCGGCTCCTCATATACTGTAGCTTGGAGAGGAGGGTGAGTGCCAGGCCGTGTGTTGGTCAGCGCTTCCCACACAGTCACCTGCAGCAGCCAGAGCCCAGAATATCACCTGGGCCCTCTGCCTGCAGAGGCCAGGACCCACCCTCCATCCACATCCCACCTGCTCTGCCTCTGTGCCTGCCTCAAGTAGGCTCTGCTGGATGGCAAACTGCAGCAGGTCATCATCTTCATCTCGAAGGGGCTCGTTGCCCTCAGCTCCCAACATGCTGTACCCCTCAGGCACCTCAAACACAGTGGGGTCTACCTCACATGGGAAAGGGCTCCCTGGGCAGGGCAAGGGCAAACAGAAGGGTCCACACTCAGCCCTAGGGCTGCTCAGAGAGGCCCCACAGCCACCTCTGCCTCCCGGAGCTTTATTCATACCTGAAGCAGAAAACACAGAACTGCGAGCCGGGACCCACACGGAACTCACAGGCTCATCACAGCCATAGAGATTGCTGAAGGTGATCCGGGCATTGAGCACATGGAAGAGGGGGATCTCTGGGGAGACAGCCAGGCTTGAGCTGCCTACTCTCTGCAGCACCCCCAGCCTTGGGGAGGGTGTCATGGCCAGGTCCTGACTGTTCTGGGTTGCCCCTTACCAATCTTGACTGGGAAACCCGGTGGGAGGTGTAGAGTGATAAAGTCCCGCAGTTTGGCAAAGTGAGCATTGCTGATGGCCATTAGGTCAATGATAGGAGTCACCTGGTCACCCAGGGAGAGCGGGTGCTCCTCACTCAGCCACAGGGTTGCCTTGAACCTGTCCAGCCGAACACAGGAGGTGGGTCAGTGACTCTCTGGTGGCCCACCATCTCTGATCACTTGCCTGTGGTGCCCTCCTCCCTGTTTAGCTACCGTTAACTGTTGTCCCCAGGAACTGAGCCCTGGCCCTGGAGCCTGAGCCACCCCAGCCCCTGGGCCCATTCTGGTACTGATGATGGCTTTATGCCTCTCTTTTGGTCTGCGTGAGGAGGTCAGGGGCCAGGTTGTGGCTTCTCTCTGGGTCTTGTTCACAGCCTGGTCCTCATCCTCTGCTCAGAGCTAGCCAGTGCAAGTGTCCTTGACTATGCTTTTCTGTTAAACTCTGCCCGAGGGCTGGGACTCGATGTCAGACTCGATGTCTGAGAGGGTCCACATGAAGTCCTGTGGAGAGCGCTGCACCTGCTTATAAGGCTGTGTTCACCATGACTACATTCACCATGACCACGTACATCTGGACACCAGGTCCTTGAGAGGCAGAGAGGCAAGTGTGACTTTTGTTTTACTGAAGAGGAAACCAGACACAGAGGGGAAGATTATTTCCTCATAATACAGTCAGTGGACAGGAGTGCTAGGCCCTTCTCACTTTGTCATGCCCTGGTCCCTGGCATGTGCTCACTGAGTTGAGCAGGAAAGCAAGACAGGCATGGTGGATCACACTGGTAATCCTAATACTTGAATTGCTTTGAGCTGGAGGCCAGCCTGGGCTACAAAGTTGAGTTCCAAGCCCTCCTAGGCTACAAAGTGAGACCCTGTAGCAATAAGGCCAAAAATAAAAAAAACATGATGGTACCACACAATTGTGACCAATTCCCTGGGCGCAGGTGCATGCTAAAGTGTTCAGACTATGTCTACAACAGACATGGCTTCCACCCTCCAGAGCAGAGTCCAGAGAGAAGCTGGCTAGGTGAGCAGGTCCTTTACTATGAGGCTCTTCATGTGCGGTAACAATCTGCTAGTGTTCAAAGAGTTCACTTGGGGTTCCCCAGCCCACCCCCAGTCCTCACCTCTGTACTTTGCTGGACATCTCAATGGGGCGACCAATATTTCTTGATTCCAGGCTGAAGGTGGGGTCAAAGTATTCCTCAGGGGAAATGGCTGTGGGGTTGGTGGGGCTGGCTGACTGCTGCACGGGAGCCTGAGCGGATCCCACGGCAGAACTCAGCCTTCAGTATAGACAGAAAGTGCCCTGCCCACCCAGTCTTGGCCCATCCCCTCCCCAGCCATGCTCACCCCGCTGTGGGAGGAGTGCTGCTGGGCCATCCCCAGGAAGGACTGGAACGGAGTCTTCCCCCCTGAGGAGAAGTGGTGGGAACCTGTGAGGGAACTTTGGGCCGCTGCCTACCCTGCCTTCTGCCACTCTGCATGGGAGCCACCTGATGGCTGGGAGAGGGTTCTGGGAGGAACAGGGAGGCCTTCCAGCCTGCCTGGGATTCTCTGGCCCTGGCCCCAGACCATAGGATGACTGGGCAGCAGGCAGGCGCACCTGGCTTTACCTTTGCTCCTTGACTTGTCCTGATCAGAAAGGTGCTCCGTGCGTGTGCGTGTCACCAGCTCCACGTTGGTGGCACTGTACACCTGGAGAGCAAGGGGAGACAGGAACTCAGGGTTCAGGACCTGTTCCCCACATTCAGCCTCACCAGCCCAGTATCCAAGTTCTCCTGTTCCCAGAGACAGACAAAATCTCTCTCCTCACAGTGGAGCAGGATCTGAACCCCAAGAGCCACTAAAAAGGACAAAAAAGAAGACCCTCATTTGATCTCAGAGCCCCCAGGTGGGGTTCAGCAGGAGCTGGGCCCTCAGGAAGTCTCTTTGGCTGCTCAGTGTTTCCAGGGTCCAACAGCTTCTCCCTCCACGCTGTGGCTGGACGGGGGGCGGGGAGCGTTCAGCTCCCAGGTCTCATAAGCTACCCCCAAATCCCCCCTACCCCCCCCGTGGCCTCTCTTGCCTTGGCCTCGTAGCCACTAACAGTCTCCATCTTCTCAGATCGCCATCCCCAGATACCACATTTGTTCCTGCAAGAGACCAGACAGGAGCTTGTGAGGATCCATACCCTCCTGCCCACACACACAACCAAAGCCCCCTCACCTAGATGGCCCTGACTACTCAACCCTGAGGATCCCTTCCCACCATGACACATAGTGGGAACCTGGAAGAGGGGTCTGGATAGCGGGGAACATTTGCACAAGGATCAAGGACCAGGAGCTAAGAATGATTCTTTTTTAAAAAATATTTTATTTTTTATGTGTATGCGTGTACTGCCTGCCTGTAGGTAAGTGCACCTATGTCATGCAACGCCTGCGGAGGACAGAAGAGGCTGTCGAATCCCCTGGAACTGGAGTTAGGACAGTTGTTAGCTGCCATGTGGGTGCTGGAATTTGAACCCAGGTCTTCTGCAAGAACAACCAGTGTTAACCATTGAGCCATCTCTCCAGCCCACTTTTAACTTTTTATTTTATGTGTATAAGTGTTTTGCCTGCATGTTGTACAATGCCTGTGGAGGCCAGAAGAGGGCATCAGATCCCCTGGAACTGGAGACTGATGGTTGTTATGGTGGTGGATGCTGGGAACTGAACCCAGGTCCTCTGCAAGAGCAACCCATGCTCTTAACCACTGAGCCATCTTTCCAGCCCCACTTTTAACTTTTTGTTATGGGAAATTTCTAACATGAGCTGTGACTATATTTGCCTAGCATTCTTGAGGCCCTAGGAAAAAATAAGATTAATAAAATAAATAGGGCTGGTGAGATGGTTCAGTGGGCAAGACACTTGCAACCAAGCCTGACTACCTAAGTTTGATTCCTGGGACCCTCTGCTGGAAGAAGAAACACATAATATTAGAACATGTGTATGCACATACCCACATACAGTAGATACATATATTTTTTGGGGGAGGGGGAGAGTCTCCCTGTAGCCCCAGCTGGCCTGGAACTCACTATGTAGACCAGGTTGACCTTAATCTCACAGAGATCTGCTTGCCTCTGCCTCCTGAGCGATGAGATTAAAGGTGTATGCTTTAAAGGAAATACCGCCTGGCAGAAGACCCAGGTTTGATTCCTAGCACTCATGTTGGGCATCTCACAACCACCTGTAACTCCAGCTCCAGGGAGTTTGAGGCCAGAGCTTCTATATCCACACAGAGACTAGAGGCAAGAGGATCAGGAGCTCACCGTCATCCTCAGTAACACAGGGAGTTCAAGGTCAGTCTGGGGCAGAGATCTTGTGTCAAAACAAAAAGGTCTGGGATATAGCTCAGTGGTAGAGCACTTGCCTAGTAAACAGGCATTTGATCTCCAGCACCACAATATAAACAAATAGCTCTATGAGTTCAAGGCCAGCCTGGTCTACAAAGTGAGTTCCAGGACAGTTGGAGCTACAGGGAGACCCTGTCTCAAAAAGACAACAGAAAACAAAAAAACGGGGGCGGGGCTGAAGAGATGGCTCAGCAGTTAAGAACACTGTTCTTACAGAAGACCCGGGTTTGAATCCCAGCACCCACATGGCATCTAACATCTGTCTGTAACTCCAGTTCCAAGGGATCCAACAACCTCTTCTGTCCTCCACGGGCATTGCACGACACAAGTGCACTTACCTACATGCAGGCATAACACTCATACACATAAAATAAAAATAATAAAATATTAAAAAAAAAAACAACCACCCCAAAAAACAGAAGATGAGGCAGGAGTCCAAGGTAATCTTGGCTACAGAGAGTTTGAGAATAGTCTAGACTACATGAGATCCTGTCTCAAATTTTAAAATAAAAGGAAAAAAAAAATCAATAAAACCAAAAGCTGATTCTTTGAAATGATTCGCCAAACTGACAGACCTCTAGCTACTTTGATTCAAGTGAAAGGTGAGAGGGAGTTCAAATGATTAAAATCAGTAACGAAAGGGCAGGCATCCCAACTGACCTTACCAAAACAGAGTATTACAACAAATTTAATAATTTAGATGAAGGGCCAGCAAGATGGCTCAGTGGGTAAAGGCACTTGCTGCCAGGCCTGACACCTGATTTCAATCTCCTTTTACCATGTGGGTTGGTGTCTTCCTAACCGCCACATGCATGCTGGGACATGCACGCACCCACACACATATATGTATGCATAAACATAAACAATATAATTATACTAGTAATAATTTAGGGGCTGGAGAGAAGACTCAGTGGTTAAGGGCACTGACTGCTCTTGCAGAGGTCCTGGGTTCAGTTTCTAGCACCCACATGGCAGCTAACAACCATTCATAACTCCTGTTCCAGGGGATCCAACACCCTCTTCTGACCTCCGTAGCATTGCACAACATAGGTACACTTACATATATGCAGGCAATATACTCATACACATAAAAATAATAAAATACTTTATAAAAAATAATTTAAGAGCTGGGCGTGGTGGCTCACGCCTGTAGTCCCAGCACTTGGGAGGCAGAGGCAGGCAGATCTCTGTGAGTTCAAGGCCAGCCTGGTCTACATAGTGAGTTCCAGGGCAGCTTGGGCTATAGGGAGACCCTGTCTCAAAAAGACAAAAAAAGACAAAAAAAAAAAATTTAGTGAAATGGACAAATTACTTGTGAGACGGAAACTACTAGAACTAACATAAGGAATAAACTAAATAAGACCTATTACAAGTGATGAGATTCTTCATCATCATCATCATCTACCCCTCGACTGCTTCACCACTGATTCTACCAATTATTTAAAGAATTAGTATCACTTACAAACTTCCAAAAAACTGATGAAAAGGTGACATTTAACAACACATGCTATCAACTACTGTCCAGATACCAAAACCAGACAAAGAAATGCAAAGGAGAGATTGGAGAGATGGCTCAGCAGTTAAGAGCACTGGCTGCTCTGCAGAGGACTTGGGTTCAGTTCTTAGCATTCACATGGTGGCTAACAACCATCTGTAACTCCAGTTCCAGGGGATCCAATGCCCTCCTCTGGCCTTTGCAGGCACTGCATGCACAGGTACACTTACATATGTGCAGGCAAAACACACACATATAAAACAAAAAGGAATAAATACAAGAAGAAATGTAAACATTAAAAAAACACTTTTTAACAAAGGAAAAGGAAAATACTGGCTGTGGGTACAGGTCAGTGAAAGAGCACTTGCCTCGCATGCAGCAAGCCTTGGGTTTGACACCAGCTCAGAGGAGGAGGCAGGGAAGAAAGCTAGCTACAGACCATATTTCTTTTTTTGTGGTTTTATTTATTTATTTATTTTTTATTTATTTTTATTTTTTACAATCTTTGTGAGACAGGGTCTCCCTGTAGCTCCGGCTAGTCTGGAACTCACTAAGAAGACCAGGTTGGCCTTGAACTCACAGAGCTCCACCTGCCTCTACCTCCGGAGTGCTGGGATTAAAGGCGTGTGCCACCATGCTAGGTAGTTTTATTTTATGTGTATGAGTGTTTTGTTTGCAGGAGGCCAGAAGAGGGCATTCAATCCTGTGGAATTGGAGTTACAGATGGTTGGTGCCACATGGGAGCCAGAAACAAAACCTGGATCCTCTGCAAGAGCAGCCAGTACTCTTAACCACTGAGCCGTCTCTTTGGCCCCAGTCAATATTTCTTATAAATATGAGGGCAAAATCCTCAACAAAATATTAGCCAACAAAATCAAGCAATCGACAGAAAGAATTATATGCTGAAAACAAGTAGCATTTATCCCAAGGAATACAAGGCTGGTTCAATATAAAAAACTCAACTTATGTAATAAATCACATGACAAAAGCAAAACAAAGGAAGCAGAAAACGTGTCCTGTGAAAACACAAAACACTGGGTATGGTGCACACCTGCAGTCCCAGCATTTGGGAAACTGGGGCAGGAGGCTGGGCGTGAGCTTAAAAAGCAAGCCTGATTTATATAAGTGGATTCTAGAGCAACCAGGACTAGAGTCAGACCCTGTCTCTAAAACAAAAACAGACAAAAAACCTCAAAACATTGTAGGAAAAGCAAAAGAAGCAGGGCATAGTGACACACACCTTTAATCCCAGAACTCTCATGGCAGAGGCAGGTGGATCTTTACGAGTCTGAGGCTACCTGGTCTACAGAGTGAGTTCCAGGTCAGCCAGGGCTACATAGTCAGACCTGTCTAAAAGGGTAGGGGGAGAAAGAAAGAAAAAAAGAGAGAATTCGACTTAAAGACTGGCAAAAGTGGAACATATGCACAATCCAGGCAGAGGTGGAGGCAGGAAGATTAGGAGTGCCAGGTCCACCTGGTCTACTTAAGACTTTATCTCAAATAAACAAAAAATAGTGGCTATGCAGAGCACTGGCTACTCTTTCCAAGGTTCCAGGATGGGTTCCCAGCACCCACATGGTGGCTCACAACCATCTGTAACTCCAGTTCCAGGAGATCCCACACCCTCTTCCGGATCTGTAGGCACCAGGCACACATGTGGTACACATACATGCATGCAAATACACAAAATAAATCTTAAAAATTAAAATGACAAAAAAGAAATAAAATAAAACCAGTTAAAGAATCTGAATAGCCATTTGTCAAAAAAAAGACCCAATTTGCACATGAAAAGATGCTCAACATTATTAGTCATTAGGGAAATGCCAATCAAAACCGCAATGAGCTGCCATATCCCATCCATCAGCCCGGCTAGAATCCAAAAGCGAATGAATGAACAATAACATGCCTTGGTGAGAACATGGAGGAATTACAGCCCTCATACGCTGCTGATAGGAATGTACAGTGGTACGGCCCCTTTGGTAAACTGTCTGACATTTCCTCAAACAAATACGGAGCTGCTATATAACCCAGCAATTCCACAGTTCATGATATACTCAGGAGAAATAAAAACATACATCCATACAAAATTTCTCTATGAAAGCATATGGCACAATCATTCCGAATGGGCAAATGGTAAACAACCCAAATGTCTATTGATGGACTGATTATTATGGTTGGTTCATAATGGATTCAGCCATAAAAAGGAATGAAGCATTACATGTCACAGCTTGGATGAACCTTGCGAGAGAGAAAAGAAGCCAAGAAGCCAGGACTCAAAAGGCAACACATTTTAAAAATTCTTACTCATGTCAAAGTTCAAAGTAGGGAAATCTATAGCAACAGAGAATAGATTAGATGCTGAGGGCTGGGTGAGGGGACATCACAGCGAAAGGGTTTCTTCTTGAGAGGATAAAAGCCAGGCGTGGTGGTCCACGCCTTTAATCCCAGCACTAGGGAGGCAGAGGCAGGTGGATCTTTGTGAGTTCAAGGCCAGCCTGGTCTACATAGTGAGTTCCAGGACAGCTGGAGCTACAGGGAGACCCTGCTTCAAAAAAAAAAAAAAAAAAAAAAAAAAATCTAAAATTGACTGTGATGATGGCATATATTTGTGAATAAAAGCCAAAGTCAATACCCCACCCTAATCTGAGCACTCTTTGCTGGTGGGGGGATCAGCCTCCCAGACCAGACAGAAACTTCATTAGTGGTAGTTTACCCTGGGTGTGGTGACAGGCATCCATAATTCCAGCACTCAGGATGTTGAGGCAGGAAGGTTTCAAGTTCAAGACCAGCCTGGGTTGTATAGTGAGACCCTGACTTTAAAAAAAATGTGTGGTACTGGAGAGACAGCTTAGTGGTTAAGAGCACTAGCTGTTCTTCCAGAGGACCAAGCTAACAACCATTTTAATTCCAGTTCCAGGGGATCTGGCACCCTCTTCTGGCCTCTGCGGGTTTACATGCACATGATGCACTTACCATACATGCAGTAAAACACTCACATGTAAAGTAAAATAATAAATACCCCCCAAATTTTTTTTGGTCTTTTTAAAAAAAATATTTTATTTGTTATTTTTATTTTATGTGTATGAGTGTATTGCATGCATGTAGGCAAGTGCACCCATGTCGTGCAGTGCCCACAGAGGAGAGAAGAGGCCATTGGATCCCCTGGAACTGGAGTTATAGACAGTTGTTAGCTGCCATGTGGGTGCTGGAATTCGAACCCAGGTCTTCTACAAGAACAACCCATGCTCTTAACCTCTGAGCCACCTCTCCAGCCCCTGTTTTTCGTCTTTTTAAGACCGGGTCTCCCTGTAGCCACAGCTGGCCTAGATTCACTATGGAGACCAAGCTGGCCTCAAACTTAGAGATCTGCCTGCCTCTGCTAGGATTAAAGGTGAGTACCACCACGCCCAGGCCCCCCTGCAATTTTTTAATATAGTTTTTGCTATTTCTCCTCCATCCCCACCCATGGTGTGCCAGGCCCCAACTGACCTCTCGAAGGCCACATTGCGAGTGTCCAGGTGGGTAGAAACGATAGGAGAGGTGAGGCGGCTGGCCACATGCTCCTCACTGGGCCTCATGGCAGCGAGTAGGGCTTCTGGTTCATGCAGAGCTGGCCCTAGTATCTCTGTATGCACCACCTGCCGGTCATGGTCCACTTCCATCACCAGGGCTCCTGCCTCTGCCAGTCAAAGGGGGTGGGGTTACAAGAGGGAGGAGATCAGCACTAGGAATATAGCAAGGTACCCTTGGCCACCTGCTGGAGTGGAGTCTCAATCCCTGGATTCCCCTCCACACTCAGCTTCAGTCTCCATGCCTGGAAAGTGCAGAGATAGAACAGCACCATCCTCACAAGCCACTGGAGTGTCTGAGGGTACCAGCATGACTCACAACTACAGCAATCACCCCAGAGCCTACCCTGGCCTTTGAAGATGAAGCTCCTCCGGCCTCGCTGCCAGGTCATGTGCTCAAAGCCCAAGAGACTGGTATCCACACGCAGGCTCTCACCCCGCTTCCACACACGGTACACATCACTCGGGCACATCTTAGACACAAGGGGTACTGCAGGGAATCGCAAAGTCACCAGCAATCCCCAAAGGGTCCACTCCAAATCCCTGGCAGCCAACTGGTCCCCACTCACCCCAGCTGGTGAACTCCCACTTCATTTCCACGTAGAAATCAGGGGCCTATGAGAGAGCAGAGCTGCCCATCAGGGCCTGGCCTGGTGCTGGAGGTCCAAAAGCCTTGGGGCTCCTAATCTGCTACTTTCTGGGAGCCTGCAAGTCTTGATGTACTGCCATGGCCCAGCTACACCCCAACTCCAATCAAACCCTGCCCAGGAAGAGGACCCAAATGGGGTCCTAAAATGGTGTACGTATCAAGAAGCCATCAGCATTGGCAATCGGGGGCCAGTCTTAACATGGCTCACAGCCCACTGCAGGCCCTCCAGGGGCCTCTGCGTCTTCTGAGTCTCTGAGGCCTCATCTGTAAAAATGTAAAGACCTTTCCCGGCCTGCCCTGATGAGAGGCAGAGCTGTGTCCTGCTAGCTGGACCCCTTTGTACGATTGCATTAGGGTGGACAGAACAAAAGTAGGTATTCTGGGGACCCAGGCCATCTCTACCTGGTCACTTTTCTCCAAGAAATCTCTATTCTCTAGGAAGCCCAAAGCCTAACATTTGTCCAAGAGACTCCTGACATCAGGGTCCCTTAAATCTGGTAAAAACTTTCCTTCCAGAAGGCCCAGTCTCATCCACATGGGCCTGGGATCCTTTCCTTACATGATCCCGGGCAGAAGTCAAGACAGATAGATGGTGGGAAAATATACTGCACAGATACTCTTCCAAGGCCAGGCCTGGCACAGGGTACAGTGTGGCCCCTGTCATGATTCCCTTCCCCCCATACAACCTGACCACAACCTATGCCCTTACCATACCTGGTGGAGTTTGTTGAGCAGTTCTGGGATGCCAGCCAACCTCTGTGTGGCCCTCTGGAAGTCCCGATACTGAAGTACCAACTGCACCATCTCGGGGTCTCCAGTGCTGACCGCCTCCTGGAGGACTGGGGACAGCGACTGCTCGGAGAAGCCCTTCCGGTGGCCCTAGGCTTGGCTGCTCATTCCCACCCATCAATCCGGTTTTGGGGGGTCTCAAGAGAAGACCCTCTGCCCGCCCTGTGTTGTACCTGCCCAGCCCTGGCGGCTCTCTTTGCCCACGTTGGCATTATGTCGAAGGAGAACTCTCACAGACTCCAGGTTCCCCAAGGACACAGCCAGCTCCAGGGGGGTCCGCCCTCGGGGGTCTTCCTGTTCAATGTCGTGCTGAGGGAGATAGGACACTCAATACAAGGCAGGAGAGAAGTCAAGGCAAGGAGATGACCAGATTGAATAGGGCTGGAGCTACTGTGAGAAATAAGGACAACAGCCAGGTCAGTGAGATAGTAGAGGGTGGCCTGGGTGGGCCAGTGGGAAGGGCTTGTGAATTTCCCCTGCCCTCTGCCACCCGCAGTTTTCGGCCTGGTGGATTCAGGTGAGGGATGTCAAGAGTTTTGATGGGCCTGGGACCAGGAGCAAGGCACTTGTCCTCAACCTAGCTCAGAGATGATGTGGGCGAGTTGGGGGCTTTGATGCAGTGTGAGATGGGCAGAGACCGGAGCAAGGTTCAGCGCAGGGAGATGCAGCTCAAGTGTGAGGGCAGGTGACCTGGGGCTGGGGCTGAGCAGTCAGGATGCGGCTGCTGCGGAGAGGAGCCAAGACAGACTCCGCACCTGGGGAGAGGATCTGGTGGACGGGTCGTGTCTCCCGTCGGGCCTCACCTGGCGGCTGTGCAGCGCGGCCTCCAGTTCCCGGTGCCGGTTCCCCCAGACCAGCCGGTGCAGCGGGAAGGTGGGGCCCATACCGGCCATGCTGGGCCTCAGCACCGCATCGGAGCGGGAGGGCGGGCGGGCACGGCGGGGGCGGCCCAGCCCTACGTGGCCTGCGCCTGGCTCGGCCCCCGGGGCCGCAAGTCTGCTGCACCCTCCCTAGCCCCGCGGACCCCGCGGCGGAGGCAGGGGCGGCCAGGGCGCGAGCCGCAGGGAGGGCGGGGCAGGGCCCAATGGGCGTGGCCACGCCGGGATGGCCCCTCCCACTCCCCTCCCGCAGCAACAGCAGCCGCCGTCCCTCCTGAGCTTTGGGGATGGGTGGGGAAGGGGTGCGCTGTCCTGTCTCCATGGCAACCACCGGCGCCCAGGGAAATGCCCAGTCCGCACCTCCAAGCCGGAAGGGTCTGTAAGGGGCGTTCCGGGAGGCGGGGCCTGGCTGCAGCTCCGCCCGCGCCTGCAGGGGGCGCCCCTGGCCCTGCGCAGAACCACCCCCTTCCTAGCGGGTCCGGAAAGGGAGGGAAGGCCCGGGGACAGGGCGGGGCGGCTCGGCGGGGTCGGGGGGGGTCGAGGGAGGAGAGGCTGGGCCCAGAGAGCTACGCAAGAGTGTGCGTGCGTGGGTGCGCAGCTGGCCCTGGTCTGGCGAGCCGTGGTCGTTTCACTCGCACCCCCTCGCCCACACCCCTGATTTTTTTTATCCATTCCACTGTCTGGTCCCGCGGGCACCGACTGTGTTTCACCGACGTGAAGTGGGAGGTCTTGACCCCATCGCTGACAGGCTACTTAGCTTTCTGGGGATGAGCACCCAGCCACTGCCCCTAATGCTAACCAGATCTTGTAGCCTCTTCCCCAAGGACCTGTCCACCTCCCCTCCCCACCATGGATGGAGGACATGACATCACCGGTGGGGGATAGTGTGTGTGTGTGTGTGTGTGTGTGTGTGTGTGTGTGGTGGGGGACCCAGCGGCACTGGAGTCAGGAATACTGAGGTTGGGGAGTAGAGGCCCAGCCGGTACTAGGGCTTTCCTGGTGGGGTCCTGTCCGTGGTGCATACTGCCTGAGGCTGCACTTCGCCGTCATCATCAGGGAAGTAAGGAGAGTTTCGAAACCGGGCCTGCATCTCCACCCACACAGAAACTAGGGTGCACGCAATCAGTGTAGTTCCGGTCCCTGGTTCTCTGGGGCCCTACCATAGGGTCTCTGATCTCAGTTTTGCTGGGTGTTGTGTCCCCAGTCAGACTTTCTCCAAAGCTGAGCCATTTTATTTTTGTCTGTGGAGGTCAGAGGACAACTTTTGAGAGTTGGCTTTCTCCTGCCACAGTGTAGGTCCCAGGGATAGAAATAAGTGTGTCAGGGTTAGCAGCAAGCACCTTTGTCTGACAGGCGAGTTTGCCTGTTTTTTTTTTTGTTGTTGTTGTTGTTTTGTTTTGTTTTTGTCTTTTTTTTGAGACAGGGTCTCCCTGTAGCCCCAGCTGATCCAGAACTCATGTAGACCAGGCTGGCCTTGAACTCACAGAGATCCTCCTGCCTCTGCCTCTGCCTCCCAGGTGCTGGGATTAAAGGCATGCACCACCATACCTTGCCTATCTCCTCATTTCTAAGACATTGGTGTGATGCCGTCTCTCTTGAGAAGGCATTCCTGCTCAATGATCCTCATGTCTGCAGACTGACTCCCACCTTCTCCCTGTGTTTAAGTGGCTCTTGTGCTGTCTGGGATCCATGCTACCCACGTGTCAGGTCATCTGTGATGTCTGGAGTTCAAAGGCCTCTGAACATGTGGAGCTGGTGGAGAGTTAGGTTGTTGATTCTTGCCTTTCTCAGACTGTCCTGTCCTCATGCCCTCCCCATCCTAAACCTCCAAGGGCTACAGTCTTCAACAGTTCCCTGCCACCCCCTTTGGGCCTCTCCTTGGCTGACAGGTTGTCTGCTCCTGTTCCCCTTTTGCCATCCTGATGCCACCTCCAGAACATCTCTGGTCTTGGGTAGTCCATGTTTTCCCATCAGAGTGCCTAAAGCCAAATCCAACCACATTTATCCTCTTCCTCCCAGACTAGCTGTGCTCTGGATTGCCCTACTTCTTAAATGGCATCATGGCCTCCTTGTATTCATCTTGGACACCCCACCCCACCCTCCATTCCCAAGCCTGGCCTGGCCTATTCGTGCATGGCCATATTCTGCTGTCTGTCCTCTTTCCTTCCTCTGCTACCACCATCACAAGGGCATCTTCCCTGGATGGAAGCGGTGGCCCCATCTTCTTGTTTCTTGCAAAGTGGCCATTTGTTTTAGAGTCAGTTCTCATGACCTCAGCCCTGCCCAGAATCTTTGAAAACTAGCCAGGCATGGTAGTGAACACTTGTAATTCCAGCACTTGGAAGGTGGAACAGAAGGATCAGAAGTTCAAGGCCATCCTTGGCTATATAGTGAGTTTGAAGCCAGCCTCTACTAACTGCCCAGAGCCAAGCCATGTTTAGCATCCCAGTCTGTTCATAGCTCCAGGCTATAGTCAATGAGCATTCTGGGCCTTAACTCTGTACGTTAAGTCTGACATTTCAGGGCCCTGATGCCTGGTTCCTTCCACTGTGCTTGGTGACTGAGCCACTCCTAAGTACCTGACCCTTCCTGACCTCAGAAACATCCCCACCAATGTCTGCCCCAATGCTGGAAGCCCAGCTCAAATGCCATTTCATGGAAGACTCCTCACTACCTGTCCCAGCACCAGCACCCCGGTGGCCTTCCTCCTCTGGGCACCCGCCCACTCTGCTCTGGCCTCAGCCCTGCCTAGCAGAGCTTTGCATGGAGCAGGCAGTGGTGCACACATTCTCTCCCACCCTCAGGGCAGAGGAAGGAAGCGCACTATGGGGAGAGATGGGCCAGGGACCTCTAATACAGGTTGCACAGTAAGGCCAAACAGGCCAAAGCCAGACACAACCAAAGGGCCAGAAAGGGCAGAGGTGGGAATGGGGCTTGGCAGAGTGCCTGACATATAGCTTGGTAAGGCCAAGATGTCCCCGGTCATCCCCAACGTGACAGCTGTTGTGGACCACTGGCCCCTCTGCTTATCAGTGATGGAAGTGCACAGCCACTATGCTCCTCCCCTCAGGCCCCAAGTGGAAGAGACTGAAAAGCGGTTACCAGGAACAAAATGTCTGAGACAGCGAGGGGTCAGGCACCGTTTTTTATAAAAACGCATAGTCTCATTTTCCACTCTTTAAAATCACATTCAAAAATCGGCAAAGAAACGCCCCGGGAGTTAAGTAGACAAGAGGGGACAGAGCGCCGACCCAGCCCCAGGGGGAGAGGGCACGACACCACACACGGCAGCGCGACTGGCACGAGGGGGCATGCGGTGGGCGGGGTAGCGCCCATGGGCGGTGGCACTGACGGGAGGATAGGGGGCTGGACAGTGTGGGTGGGGGCACACTGACCAGCCAGGGCAGGGAGGGCTAGCCCCAGCTGGGCCCTTATCACTGTGCCATCCACCTGCCTGGGCTGTCCCACTGTGGTCCCGGGCAGGTGAGCCTCACCCAGGCCAGGGTTGGGGACCTGGGTTCAGGCTAAGCCAGTGTGGCCCAATCCACAGTTGTCGTTCTGTGTTCCGGCACCCAGCACTTGGTGGGAGGAAGAGGGAACTTGGGTGGCCAGCAGCAGCCACTGCCAGTACCAGCCTCCTGGCCCAATCCCAGTAACTGCAGGGGATGGGGGCAGTAGTGACACAGAGGCTTTTCCTGAACAAGGGCCCAGGAGCCCATCACTGGGAGACCTCCAGGGCTAGGGAGACAAGGGCCCTCTCCTCTCACTGGGAGCAAGAGGGCAGGACAATGGGGCGTCTATCCCTCTGTCACAGCACGGCTGTGGTAGGAAAGTTCAAGTAGTATCCCTGTGCTGTACCTTCTTCCCCTAGGGTGGGGGATGCCAGGCCACCCAGCCGTGCCACGGGCTGAGCACAGCCCACAGAGCCTGAAGTGGGACAGCTGAGTGCGGCTTCACCCCATGGAGGGACAGGAGGACTGCTGGGGGTTGCTGCTCTCCCCTACAGGAAGACATTGGGTATGGGGATTGGGGGTCAGGGTAGGGGTGCTAGACAGTGGCTGGGTTGGTGGCAGCAGGAGCCGAGGCAAGCGGGCCCCTCCCTGGGGGCTAGGCCAGGCTGGGGCCACAGGAAATCACAATAATTACAAAATAAAACCTTTTCCGCTTTGCGGGAAAACAAATAATAAAAATTCGACAAAATAAATTAGAGGTCTATAAAAGGCCGGCGGGCAGGTGGGCAGCAGATGGGCGGATCAGAGGCCGTTGGCACTGCCACGCTGGATCAGTGGCACCTTGCTCAGCTCCACCACAGGTGAGCGTGGCTTGTTCTTCATCTTGGGCACCCGCTGCACCAGCTGCTGGGCCTCACGGTAGGCATCACGTAACTCTTTTTTCCACTGCACCAGCTCAGGATCGCTCTGTACACATCCAGGCTCTGTCAGCCTCAGCTGGCCAGACGCAGGCCCACCCACACCCGCACCTCAGGCCCCACTCACATCACACTGCAGGACAAACTGCTTCCCACCACGGATCTTAAGCAGCAGACACTTGCGCTCCTTGATCTGGGTCTCTTCCACCGACTGGATCTCCTCCATGGTCAGAAGGCTCTGCTACAGGGTGGGACGGACGGCATGGGCAGTGAGGGAAGGCCCTGGCACCCACCCTATGCCCCAGGTCTCCCCATAGCCCTTCTTACCGGGGCCTCGCCTTCACCCCGCCACTCCAGCCGGTTGGGGAACAGGTAGAAGTACCGTCGCTGCCACTGGGTCAGGAAGGGATTGCCCATCTTGGACATGTAGCCATGCATGATGCAGTCCTTGCCCAGGGCGTAGTCTGCACGAGAGACGAAATGCAGGCTCAGCTCCCACAGCCACTTTCTGGCTGTGATCTTGGTAAGTTCCACAGCAGAGCCTGCTTCTCATTTCTGCAGTGTGCAGTGAGCCTGGTGTCCCCGAAGCCCTCACCCTCCTCATGGCCCAACTGCTTGTTTTTGGCTTTCTTTCGGGCCTCCAGCCGGTCTGTCTCAGCATTGATGGTGTCGAAGACGGTCTCTGCCACCTCCTGCTGCCACCGCTCCGAGATGGTCAGGGGGAAGTTCCGATAGAGCTCCTGGTCGCTGTCCAGTAACTTCGCCAGGTGGACAAGGCAGGGACATGTGAATAAACAGAAGGTGCCAGAATGTTATCAGCCACAGGCCTGCCCAGGACCTGCGTCAGGGATGGTCTGAGGTGACTACAGCTTTCAGGGAGGTTGGGAGATGAGCAAGTACGGCCTACAGCTGACAGAGCTGCCACATGATCTCACAGGGGCAGAGGAGGGACAAAGGCCCATCCAGACCAGGCCAGGCTCAGGGTTTATAAGGTGCAGTACCTTGATTCCTTTTGTATCCTCCTCATCGAAGGAGCCAATGTCAAAGGCATCAGCCGCATTCACCTCTCCACGTGGGGGGATGAGTGGGGGCGGGTACTGCACAGAGCAGGGGTCAGGCATCAATAAGATTGGTTGATGGTTTGTGGGGTACGCTATCCCAACCCTGGACAGGCTCTTACCTTTTGCAAGAAGACCATCTGCCAGTCCAGGGAGTGGAAGAAGGGGCTTTCCTTCACCTCCTGAGCCCTGTGGGGAGATTCCTGTCACTTGGGCTCAGCATTATCCAAGGCGGGCTAATTCCAGGCCAGGGGGTTAAGTGACCCAGGCTTCACTCCTGGTTCAGCTATTTTTTGGCTCTGTGACCTTGAATACGTTTTTTAACCTTGAGCCTGTTTCTTCTTCTCTAAATGGGAGAAGCAGTTCCCACATCCTGGGGTTGGTGTGAATTTTCATTATGCTTGCCTGACAGTGGATATCCAGTAAACATTAAAAGCTGTTAAGCTGGGTGTGGTGGTACAGCACTTAGGAAGTGGAAGCAGAAAGATCAGGAGTTCAAGGCTAACCTCAGCTATATACTGCATTTGAGGACAGGCTGGGTACATGAGACCATGTCTCAAAAAACCAGCTCCCCCCTCCCCAAAATAAAAAAACCAAGCTGCTATCACTACGGTCTTCATCACTTTGTTACAAAGTCCCTCTTGGAAGCCTGTCCCCAGCTGGTTTGAATGACACACCCAGCCAGCCCTGCCACTTTGAGGACACAGGACAGTGTTGGCCATGACTTCCCTTGTGAGCGCCTCAAAGGAAGCTGAGACCATGGAGGGGACTCAAGTGATGGGACACAACCATTGTTCTAAGGGGACACAGCCAGAGGCCCAGGCAGGCTGGCCCAGCAGCCCACAGCAGAGCTCATATGACCACATGCTAGAGGGGATAGGACACTCACCCACGGCCTAGACAACCCAGCCTCCGGTTGACATCCCTCTGTAGTAAACCTTCCAGCAGTGAGCGGAGTTCAGGGGAGAAGGAGTCAGGCAGCTCCACAGCCTTTAGGGATGAAGAAGATGTCAGCGTAGGAACCCAGGAAGGGCCTTTGGCTCTGGGGGAGGGGTAGAGGCCAGCAGCAGGAGATAAGACCCAGTTTCCTTCTGGCCCCCTAACAAGTGTAAGCTCTGACAACACAGACAAGGCAAGAGGGTACAGCACAAGAAGCCTGGCCCTCAGGGGCAGAGAAGGCATCAGTGGCTCAGAGCCCTGCTGGCTGGTGAGAATCAAGAGTCAATGACTCTGGCACGGGCCGAAGCCCCAGCCCCGCTGTGGGCCTTGAACCACAGCCCTTACACTTACCATTGTCAATGTCATTCGATCAATCTCATGCTTATCTTTGGTCTTGTGCTGCCGGAAGGGGCTGTGTCTGGGTAAGAGGTCAAAGAGCAAGGTCAAAAACAGAACGGGGGAAACTGAGGTCGACTGCATGGATGAGGCCTGTGCAAGTCAGGGATGGCTCCACCCCTAACACCCAGGCCACTGTGGGCTCCCCTCCCGACTTCTGGATTGGGAAAGTGTCTCAAGGCCTCACTCCACCCCTGGGATGGCCCACTCACCCTCGCAGCAACTTGAAGAGCATGCAGCCCAGGGAGAACCAGTCCGCACTGCTGTCGTAGGCCACGCCCTTCTGCAGGACCTCGGGGGCCATGTACCCGTGCGTGCCCCTGTGGGAGCATAGGCTGTGAGTGTTAGTGGTAGAGGATCAGAAAGGGAGGGGATGGCCAGGCACTCACACGCTGGCATGGGGCTTCTTCTTGGAGAAGTCGCAGGCCAGGCCCAGGTCCGAGATTCTCACATGGCCGTGCTCATCGAGAAGGATGTTGGCTGGCTGTGAAGGAAGCCCAGTGAGCCGCCGGGCCAGGAGGAGGCCAGCCTGGTTCTTCACTGGAGAGGACTGTCAGTGTTCGGGGGCAAGGCCCCGGGTGGAATCTCCCCCACTTTCCCTAATCACAACTGAACCCAGAAAGCAGCTCAGGCAAGAAGTCAGGGGAAGTAGATAGGGAGACAAGCTGGCCTGTCACAAGCCACAGGGAGGGATGGGCAGTGGCAGCCCCTCACCTTCAGGTCCCTATAGACCACGAAGCGATTGTGCATGTGCTCAAGGCCCAGGATGATCTCAGCTGCGTAGAAGCGCATGTCGGCCTCAGAGAAGACCCCATGCTGAGACAGGTGGTAGTGGAGATCTCCACCTGAGGGAGGCAGCCCCATGGGTAGCACTCAGCTTCCTGACCAGGTCCATTCCGAGGACCACCCCCTGGGGCTGGCCCTGAGCTCACCGTTCATGAGATCCAGGATGAAGCTAAGCTTGTCTGGTGTGTGGAATGCGTACGACATGCACACGATGAAGGGGCAGTCCTAGGAGGGAGGGGAAGGTGAGCAGAGGCTACCTGAGGTGGGGTCAGAGGCTGCTGCAGGGGCCCCCTGGCCACCCGGCTCACCCCGGTGCTGACGAGGGAAAGCATGATCCGCTCGTTCAGAGCCAGGGTCTCTCCCTGCTTCATCTTGATGCGCTTCTTGTCCAGACACTTCATGGCGTACCTACGGTGAAGTAGGAGTCAGCAGGAGTCAGCACACCCTGCAGGGCAGAGCTCCAGGCTGCCTCTGCGGGCTGGTAGTGAAGACCAGATACAGGACAAATGGGTGACACAAGCCAACTTTAGAGAGGGCAGAAGGTAGGGGTCTCAGAAACCTGAAGGAGACAGAACAGCCAAAGCAAGATAGGAAGGAGGGACAGTGGCAGGACAGGATAAAGGATGGCCCCAGACAAAGACTGACTGAACATTCAGGGATGGCAAACCTGGGACCCTGATCCTCTTCACAGCTCCTCCTCAGAAGGCCCCAAGCCCGCTGGGCACCTCTAGGAGCCTAACTCCTCCCTCAGGCACCCCACCCCAATGCCAGCTAAGCAGGGTGCTCACATCTTGCCCGTGTCTGCTTTTCGGCACCCGTAGACCTCGCCGAAGCCCCCGCGCCCAATGATGCGGTGCACACTGAAGTCGTTCATGGTCAACTGCAGGTGGCAATGGCTGGGGTCACTGTAGGCTGCCTGGACTCAGCCCCACAGCAGAGGCATTTAGGCAGCAGGGACAGGCCCCATGCCAGGGTCCCCTATACCTGTGACTTGACCACACCCGTCTCCAGCCTCCTCCATTGGGATCCTAGCACTGACCCCCACCTGAGCCATCACTGTGGGGCTGGTGGCAGAGCCCTGACCCTACTCCCTGATGGCAGTATCTCCCCATGGTCCCCCAGCACCAGCTCCCCCAGCACCCAGCCCACTCACATGGATGTTGAGTTCTACATTCTTCCACTGGCAGAATCTTGTGAACTTGTCACTAAGAAAGGAGGATGCAGGCTCAGGCAAGCCTCAGAGCATAAGAGGCCAGCAGAGCCTGTCCCGCCCACTGCCCTTCCCAGGGTCCCGTTAAAGTGGCTTTGGAAACATCTGAGCCTGTGCTCAGCCGCTGAACCTCGTGGTCCTGCTGGGGTCACAGGCCGAGAGAGGTAGCCTCTAATCAGACCCTGCCTTACAGCTACTGTATCCTCACCAGGCGCATCCCCTGCAACTCCTTCACCTGCAGCCAGAGCTCATTCCCAGTAGTTACCCCCTCAACCCTCAACCTCCTGCCCTCCTGTTGCTGGATAGCTGTGACAGAAAACACTGCTCCCTACATCCTTCTGCCTATGCTTAGGTGGTATAGGCCAGAGGACAGTGAGTACCCCCAGGCCCAGCCCTGCCTCTACCCTGACACTCAGCCCAGGGAGACCAGCAAGATGCCAGAGGGTCCATGGGAGGGAAAGACAGCAGGTGATGCTGCACAGGCTTTGAAATGCCTGGTGCTGCGAAGGTCAGGGTGAAAAGAGAACGTGCTGGGCGTGGTGGCACATGCTTTAGTCCCAGCATTCAAGAGACAGAGGCAGGCAGATCTCTGTGAGTTCAAGGCCAGCCTGGTCTACATAGTAAGTTCCAGGCCCAGCTGGTGCTAAAGGGAAACCCTATCTCAAAAAGACCCCCCCCCCGCCAAAAAAAAACCAAACAGAAAAGAGAGAACGCACGGTCCATCTGACCTCCCAGGAGTCCTTGCAACAGGGCATGAACAGAGCCTGCACCTTCCTGCTTAGGGCCAGAGCAGGCTGCCTCTGTCCCCACTCAACCTCTTCCTCCCCATTCCTCTCCTACTCACCTCTCAATGAACTTCTGGAACACATCCCCTCGGAGGTTCTGACAAATTTCCTCAATGTATGGCTGTGGAGGGAGCTGGAAATTGGTGACTGAGTCCCTCAGCCCCTGGTGACTCAGGCTCCCCCCCAGCCCGACTTTTGAACCCCAGCCGTCCAAGAATGCGGACAGGATGAGGCCAAGAGGAAAGGGGCCCAGCACGCACCTGGAAGAGATCTGGAGGCACCTGTTTCTTCACCAGGTGGCCCTGGACATGCTCAGTAGCACTCTTTGAGAAAGGCTGGGGAGGACAAAGGTGGCTGTGAATCCTCTACAGGGTTCTTTCTTCCCTTCCAACCTTGGGTTGCTGGGGGCCAGCACAGGAGTGGGCACCCAAGGACGGCTGACCAGGCCACTTACATGAGAGCAGGCCAGTAGTTCCTTCATGATATAGGAGTCGAAGATCTCCCGGCTGCGGACTACACGCTCCTCCTCCGTCTCCAGCTTCTCATACTTCTTGATCTGAAAGGCAGGACACACGGGTGGTCTGTGGCTGGAGCATGGGGTAGGTGTCTTACAGACTCTGAGCAAGCTGCCCTAGCCCCCACTTTCTCTAAGCCAGCTTCACCCATCTCACCTCCTCGTAGAACTCCACCAAAGGCTTGGCCTCTTCTAGGTGGTTCAGGCAAAAGTCTCGAAAGAGCAGGTATCCTAAAAGCAAGCAGGCTTGATCACACTGAGCCATGCACATCCTCACGGGCCTTCCAGCACCATGGATGGAGTGGGCTTGGGGTTCCCTGGGCAGAACTGGTCTGTGTCTCAGGAAGGGGTTGGGCAGTGTGGGCCCTGAGGCCACTACCAACCTGAGGATTCCTGGATTCTAGGTTAGGGCTCTTGTACTACCCCAACCCGGAATCTGCCTCCATAGACAATGGCTGGGCACCATGGAAAGGTAGGGGAGTGGGACTCGCTCTGCTATCATCAGCCCAGGACATTTGCCAGGCCCTAGCCCCATCAGTGCTGGTAACACCACCCACTGTAGGCTTGGAGGTGTGACCTTGGCCACTTGGAGGAGGGAAGTGGTAACTAAGAGATGGGGGTCCTTTTCCTTGTCTCCCACATCTGGCAGATTCTCACAATATCTCTGACCGGAGAGGCAGATCCAGTTGGGGAAACTGAGGCTCAGGGAAACCCGTCAGACATGTAACACCAGGGTTCCTCAATCCAGTGGCAGACCCCTGGGAAAGCCAGACCAAAGGTGGGGGCCTCAGAGCAGCTGCCAGAGGACAAGGCAGAGCTAAGGGTGGCTCCCTCGGCAGGCCTCCAGCCCAACATGGGTGCCTGGGCTGTGTGGGATGGCTTCCCAGGCCTCTTTGGGGCACTGTAGCCTGTTGTCCATGGCCTCTGATCCCAGGTGCGTCTGCCAGCACCTGGAAGCCATCATTTCTTCTAAGGACAGCCTCACCTTTTAAGTGGAACCTTCTAGTGATTTGTGAACAGGGCTTAAAGGGAGAGGTGTGGAGGTGCAAAGTGCTCGTACTAAGAACACTGACGCAGGTCCATCCTGTCTCCCCTGGGCAATGGGGCTCACAGTCCCATTTCCCAGATTTGAATAGCCTGAGGCTCAGAGGCCCAAGTTCACATAGCACAGACCTGGGCCCCAGGCTGGGCTCTTCCTGGCCTACCACTGACCTAAGGCTGACCTCCCATGCCTTATCCTGCCAGGCTACCCCCAGTTCAACACTGAGATCCTGTCTTCAGGAAGACCAATCACAGCCATGTGTGACTGGGGCTGCTTCCCACCCTAAGCCTGCCCTTCGGGCTGCGCCCTTGGATGGATGGCATGAAGCTTCCAAGACAAGAGGCACCAGGCACCCAAAGGAGGAAGCATGGAGGGGTCAGACCACAGCAGGTTGCTTACAGAGGGCCTGTGGGGGAGGGGGTGGAGCCAACCACAGTTCAGCAGGCGCCACAGGAAGGGCCCCGCCTCTTCCTGTCAGTTCTACCAACGGCCAAGAGCAGCTGTGGCTGCGCCAAGGGGAAGCTGCAACTCTCAAAAACAAAAACCCCAAAGGAGGAACTTCCCTGGCGCCTGGGGAAGACTGTTGGGTCTCCCACCCCCACCACAGGGCTCCCTGGGCTGAAGCCAGGGGCTGAGAGGCAGGAAGGGTCACCACAGGGCAGAAGGGATGGGGGTGTGTGGCTCCTGGGACAGGGCGCATGGCACAGCTGGCTGGGGGTAGCAGGAAGCCAGTCCTGGGGTTCTCCTTGAGAGAGCTCAGCCTGTGGCTGCACTCACCTAACTTCTGGGAGAAGATCTTTTCGAAAGTCACTTCGCCCCGATCCTCCAAGTACTTCTGCATGACACTGCGGATGCTGCCGATAGAGGGGTGCAGTGAGCAGGGACCCCCCTCACCAGAGTCCTGGGACAATAGGGCCTACCCTGCCCAAAAGACTGGATCAGAGCACTCTCTCTCTCTCTCTCTCTCACACACACACACACACACACACACACACACACACACACTTTTTAAAATTGAGATGGGATCACACTATATCCCAGGATGGCCTTGAACTCACAGCAGTCAGCCTCTCCAGGGTTGGGATTACAGGTGAGAGCAACCACATCTGGCTTGAGTCATGCATTCTTTAACTCAGTGTCATCATGCCCTCCAGCAAACTGGCCCCCAGTCGGGCCTACTCATTCATCCTGTCCACAGGTCACCTCAGATGGACCCAGAGCTATGGTAGTCAGCTCCCCCAAGCTGAAGCTTTCTGCCTGCAGAAGTGTCAACACTGCCACGCACTGCCTTTGGGAACTTAGGCAAATTGCAAAGCTAGGCCTGTCCATCGGTGGATGATGGACAGTTCAATAGTGGCCCTTGTCACGTTTGACCATAAGAGGAATGAACCAGGGATACATACTGAAACATAACACTTTGAAATAATACTTGGTAACTTTGGGGAAAGTACTTATACTAAGTAAAGGGCAACAGTCACTAGAAGATAGATTTGTATGAGCCCATCCACATGACTCTACAGTAGGTACACAGACAGAAAGCAGATTTGTGGGTGTCAGGAACTTGGCAGAACTGCCAAAGGGGAAGGGTCTGCGTGTGTGTGTGTGTGTGTGTGTGTGTGTGTGCACACACACACGCGCGCGCGCGCCCAAGGGGTTGAACTCAGATCGTCAGGCTTGGTGGCAAACATCTTTACTAGCTAAACCATCTCATCTGCCCAGGGGCAGGGTTTCTTTAGGAAATAATGAGAAGCTCTAAAATAAGGCAGGGGTGAGGGCTGAACAACACGGTGAATGCACGCACATGCACATGCACACACATCGAATCATGTTTTTCACTTTTTGTTTTGGGAGGACATGACTCTAGCTATTGTAGCCCTGGTTAGCCTTAATCTCACCACATAGCTGAGGCTGGCCTCAAATTTATAGCAATCCTCCTATCTCAACCTCCCAGGATTACAAGCATGTTCACCACAACTTAGCTTTGAACTGTATATTTTGTTTTTATTTCTTATTTTTTGGGTCTTTTTTGTTTTTGAGAGAGTCTCCCTGTAACCCCAGCTGGCCTGGAACTCACGATGTAGACCAGGCTGGCCTTGAACTCACAGAGATCTGCCTGCCTCTGCCTCCTGAGTTGTTGGGATTAAAGGTGTGGCCACCTGAATTGATATTTTAAAGTGATGAATTGATCCAGACCAGCTGGGGCTACAGGAAAACCCTGTTTCAAAAAGACTGAAAAAAAAAGGTGGGCATGGTAGTACATGCCCGTAATCTCAACACTCTGGAGAATGAAAAGTTCAAAGCCAGTCTTGGTTACACAGTGAATTCAATGGGATACATAGAAGCCTGACTGTGTGTCCCTCACACTTGGGTAAGAAACATGGCCTCTGCCTGGACCACTTGGCAGGTCCATAGGGGAAGGACTGACCATCACTGTTCCTGAAATCAGACTCCACTATCACCACCTTGTTCATCTCATCCCAAGGCTGGGCAAGGCCTAGGAGAGTCTCACTGGGCCACATTCCATGCCACAGATGCCACCTTGCTGTCCCCCCTTCCCTTTTCTGGGCCACCTGCAGCCCGACCTGCCAACCTGTCCCAACAGCCTGCTTTGGTCACATTTGGCCCTCACTAGTCTGGGCTCTTGGAGGAACATGTAGCTGCCCCACTGAGGGCACAGCTGAAGCCAGGGGCTGTGCTAGGTCACCATGCTGGCTGTCACACTGGCAGGCCCTGGTGGATATGTGGGGTTCCAAAAGGCCTCTGTCACAGACCGCAGCTGGTGAGGATTCATACCCGCACGCTGGCTTTCAGAGTTTGGCACTACCTCTGCTTGGTGCCCAGCAACCAGCCTGGGCTAGCCTGGTCACCCAGGTTGGAGTCAAGGCACTGTGCATGGCATATGAGACCCACACCGTCAAGCAGGTTTGTCCTGGGCACAGGCTCCTGGTCTGTGACATCCGTGGGTGTGGAAACCTTGGGTAGCCCCATGGTCAGCTCGGGGTAGCGGGTGAGGAGTTGCTGTGTGGAGAAGGCAGGCGGAACTTTGCTGAGTTCCTGAAATGCAAACAGGATGTCGCCAGGTGGTGAAGCCTAGAGCAGGTGGGGGTAGGGAGACAGGTGAGGAACAAATGGCCCAGGGAAGAGGCCCACAGGGCAGGGAAGAGGGTGCATGCAGCAAAAAGGGCTTAGAAGGAGGGCAGAGCTGGGGTGCCTGGGGATTTCAGAGTTGGGGGTGATCCTTAGGAGACTGGGTCCAGGACAGGGAGCACAGAGACCTCACCATGGAAGGGTTGCCATGGAAGAAAGCCCAGGTAGAAGGCACTGACAGGTGAAAGAGAATCGTGGTGGAGGAGGTGACACACAGGCTGTGGGTGGCAGGAGGGGATCTGCTCTGCACAGTGGGCTTCTAATCAAAAGGGGGACTGGGGAAAGTGGTGCCAGGGCACTGGAGTCCAGGCCCAGCCCTCCCAGGATCTAGCTCGGGTCGGCCTTCCTCAGGAAAGGCCTCTTGAGATAGTGGAGCTCGCAGAACTGCAAGAGCACAGTCCTGAAACCATGACCCCTGTGCCTGGAGACTAGGAGATGCCAGGGCTCCACCAAAAGCTGTCTCTGACAGGAAGTTGGGCCCTTGGTGACCCTGGGCTCCCAGCCTATAACTCCCACCCAGGCCTGCAACTCCAACAGAAGCTCAGGGCCTCCCACACTGCTCCCTCTGGGACAGCAAGGCCATTCTTTGGTAACTGGAAGGGGCACTAAAGCTACATGTGCCCTTCATCCACACTGGCCACCTTCTCCTCCTGGAGACTATCCACCAGCTACAGTCAACACACTTCTAAAGACTCATAAGGCCTCAGGGCATAGAACAGCAGAGCTTGGAGGAAAGCTGATAGACCAAGAAAGACAGCCCAGGGCTGACATATAAAATCCCAACACTCAGGAGGCTGAGACAAGAGGACTTCCATGAGTTTGAGGCCAGGCTAGACTACAGTGTGAGATCTTTTTTCAAACCAAACCAAACTGAACAACGACAGACAGACAGACAGACACAACCCATGCCTGGGCTGCAGCCTGGCAGCCTGGTCAGGCAGGGCAACCACAGCACAGGAGGCTGACCTCACAGGGCTGTGGCAGTCCTGAAAGACCTGACAGGACAGCACAAGGTCACTGAGCCCGGGAGCCTACAAAACCAGGTGCCTGGATCTCACAGGGCAGGCAGCCCAGGAGGGCAGGACCTCACCCCCAGTCCCAGGTGCTCTGCTTCCCCACCTCATCCTTATATTTTGGCACATACAAGCAGGAAGATGCAGGTGCAGAGGCCTGGGAATGGGGGCCATGGGCTTCACCAGGATGTCCTTCCAACTTCAGACTGGCTTTCTGGAAACTGGCTAAACAAGCTAGTTTGACCAAGAGCATGCCCACGTGGGGCTGGGCAGTAGCTACCACTACCTCCCACCATGTGGCCCGGAGAAGCTAAGAAATGGACACACAAGGTTCCCCAGCAGGGGAGGCGCTCGGTAAGAGACCCTGCCTGTGATGTCAGGAACCCACCAGGCAGGGCTCTTTGCTTTCCAGGGGCTCTGCTGTCACCTGGGCCTGGGGCCCAGTAGCAAGCAGGACCCCAGGCCTGAGGCTGCCCCTCCCATCAGAAGCCACGCCTGGGCATGGCCACAGCATTCTTCCCAGCCCACAGCACTTCATTTTCTTCCTTAAAAAGAAAAAAGTCGGGGCTGGAGAGATGGCTCAGCAGTTAAGAGCACTGACTGCTCTTGCAGAGGACCTGGGTTCAATTCCCAGCACCCCATGGCAGCTTCAAACTGTCCTTAACTCTAGTTCCAGGGGAATCTGAAGCCCTCTTCCGACCTCCACAGCATTGCACCACACGGGTGTACTCACACACATGCAGGCAATACACTCATACACATAAAATAAAAATAATTAAAAAAAATATTTAAAATAGGCCAGGCGTGGTGGTGCACGCCTTTAATCCCAGAACTCTGGAGGCAGAAGCAGGCGGATCTCCGTGAGTTGGAGGCCAGCCTGGTCTACATAGCGAGTTCCAGGTCAGCTGGGGCTTCAGGGAGACCCTGTCTCAAAAAGACCCAAAAAATTTTTTTTTAAATAATAAAAAAAAAAGTCTTTTTAAATAAAATAAACACTACCCCCACCACCACCAAACACAAGGTCAGGCCTGAGCAGAGACCTTGAATGGAAGGCGCCCCCAAAGTGGCAATTTTAGGGTTTCTGGTCTATACCCATGGCGCTGGTGGCCAAGTAAGCTGGCAGGTTACAAAAAAGGTGTCATTAGGAGGAGGCTCCTAACTAGGGAGCAAGTGCAGGCTTGCAGGGAGGAGGGCAGTCTCCTGGCTGCATCACCTTTGTCCCAGCAACCACTCCCTGATGCTGGCAGGGCCTAGAGAGGTGACATGCCCAGTGTGGCATCCCTACCCCCACAACTCCAAAACTCCACATCCATTCAGAAGCATGTGGCTCTCAACCTAAGAGAATCAGATGTGCTGGGTATAATGGCACATGACTGCAATCCCAACTCTTGGGAGGCTGAGGCAGGAGGATTGCTATGAGTTTGAGGCCAGCTCATAGTGAGCTCCGGGACAGCCTGAGCTACAGAGTGAAAGGGCACTAAGTTCTCCAATGCTCAGCAGCTCCATGCCCCAGCAGCTGGAAGGGCACCCTGGTGACATTCCAAACAGCTCTCCCCTCTTCTCCCCAGGAGGTCAAGCCACAATAGTGTTTACTTTTTTCTTTGCATATGTATGTGTGCGGTATATGCATACATGTGTACATACATGTTTGCATGGACTTGGGCACATGTATATATGGGTGCACATGCATGTGT